CTTTTTAATTCTTGAACTCATGATTATTCTTCAATAAAGATACTGCAGTTTAACTTATTGTAGTGACTCTGAACACTCCGAATAAAAATGATCCTGAAGAAAAGAAACATAAAAGCAAATCACTATACAAAGACGTTACTGGAAAACAGAAATAACAATGAACTCTCAATTTTAGTAGAACAGATGCAACTTATGTAGCTTCATCTAAATCATCTCTCGAATTAAACACATTAAAATTTATAAGAAATCAAGTAGAACTAAAAATATTTAACAATAAGAGAATTAACAGAAATTGAAGTACTAGAAAGTTGGGGCGAGACTTAAAAAAAATAATCAGAACAGCAATGTGATTCGACTAAATTCTTCAAACAAAGATCTGTTAATGAATGAGGGCAAAACAAAATCAATTTCAAATTTATGAGAGTACTAAAAAAATAATAGAGATTGATAGATGAAAACTTTAGCTAGGGGCACTGAACAGATCTAGAAGCTGAAAGCATATGCCGTCAATAGGCGATCGATTATAGACAATCATATTTTAAAGCTTTTGAAAAACACCAAACAAGCCTTTGTTCAAAAAAATAAAATAAATAAATAAACATCGAAACAAAGATTTATTTCTGGGCACATCAATCACAGAGAGCCAAATTTACCTTCACAAGGATAAGAAACAATCGATGAGCTGATCTCTTGGTTAAATCCCTTCTAATGCAAACACTGAATCGTTCCAAATTTAATAAATGAGAGGGAATCTTGCAAAAATGACCCATAAATTCAAGTCAATTGCTAAACTAACCTCCCATTTTACCACTTTTAAAATTAATCACTTTATCTCACTTATATCCTTATCAATTCTATTTATTTACGAAAATATCATTAGATTATTGTTTTTTATTATTATTTCGGAAATCTGTTTTACTAAACAATCCTCATCTTCCTCACTTATTTACGAAAATACCATCACCATCAATTTATTCAACCACTATTTTCAACCAATTTGAAGCTTTTATTGCTTCAAAGACCCATTTTTTAGCTTTGTAACCTCATTTCCTCTTCTCTTAACCTTCTACTCTTCTATTTTTTCACCATTTTCAGCACAAAAACTCTCTAATCTAAATTTTTGAAACTTGATGTTTCAATATATTGCCATATTTGGTGATTTGGTCTGCCAAATCGTTTGGGCTTGTTTGGTGGTGGCTGGAATCAAAGAAATCGGTGGTTGAATAAGTTAAATACCACTGGTAGGTGATTTTTCAGTCAATTTTCGTGAGTTTTCAGATCTGTGCCGTGAAAATAGACTTCTTAAGAAGTCTACTGTCGGTAGTAGACTTCAAAAGAAGTCTGCTGGTCAACACACAGGTTAGTTTTGCAATTGACCGAGTGTACCAATTTCTGACAGTAGACTTCAGTTGAAGTCTGCGCCATTTTCTTTGACAACAAAAAAAAAATAGTGTAAACTTCAAAAGAAGTCTACGTAAAAAGGGGTTAGTTTTGCAATTGACCAACGTTTGACTTTTTCGTAAGAAGTCTACTCGTAAAAGTAGACTTTTTCGAATAGACTTCGCTTGAAGTCTACTTTTCCAAGTAGACTTCGTTTGAAGTCTACTTTCTGAGTAGACTTCAAAAAAAGTCTACTTTCTGAGTAGACTTCAAAAAAAGTCTACTCGAAAATAAATTCAATGTTTGGTCAACCCCAAAACTAACCCAAGTAGACTTCGTTTGAAGTCTACTTTTGAAGTAGACTTCAAACGAAGTCTACTTTGAAAAGTCAACATTGGTCAATTGCAAAACTAACCACTAAGAAGTCTACTTTTAAAAGTAGACTTCTCCGAAGAAGTCTACTTTTGCAAGTAGACTTCTTACGAAAAAGTCAAAGTTTGGTCAATTGCAAAACTAACCTTTTTTTACGTAGACTTCTCGAGTAGACTTCTCGGAGTGAGTAGACTTCTTTGAAGAAGTCTACTCATTTTTTGGCAATTGCAAAAGTAACCTAAAATATAGACTTCATACGAAGTCTACAGTTGTAGACTTCATTGCAAGTCTACTTTTGTAAACTTCGTTGTTAGTCTATTATTTCACTTTTTTTATAAACGCGTTTTTATCAAATTTACAACGAATTATTAAGATTTTTTTGGTTTTATGATTGTTTTAGTAAGTGTACTTACATTTGTATCAGTTTTACATGCTTATATTATATATATTTGGTGAAATCAAGTTTCTTGTTTTATTTGGTATTTAGCTTATTTGTCCGTAGACTTCGTTTGCAGTCTGCGACATTAATTTTTTTTTTATTTAATTGATCAAATATTTGTAACAAATAAAATTTATTCTTTGACTCGTAAGTGTGTATTATTTATTGTTCTTACTTATGTAGGAGTTTGACATGTTTATTTGTTATAGTTTAGCTTTAATTAATTTTCTTGTTCTAATTGGTATTTAACTTATTAGTCCGTAGACTTCACTTGAAGTCTACATAGTAGACTTCGTTTGCAGTCTGCGACATTAATTTTTTATAAATTTAATTGATCAGATATTTGTAACAAATAAAATTTATCATTTGACTCTTAAGTGTGTGATATTTATTGTTCTTGCTTATGTATGAGTTTGATTTTTTTTTGTTACAGTTTAGCTTTAACTATTTTTCTTTTTTTATTTGGTATTTAGCTTAATAGTCCGCAGACTTCATTTGAAGTCTACATAGTAGACTACGTTTGCAGTCTACTTTTTCGACAATGATTTCTAATGTGGTTTGAATTTTGTTTTATTACAGATAATGGTTCACATACCCACTGTTTATAGAGAATGTGTGAAGAAAGACTAGTTATGGTATTTCTAAGTAATTTTACATATTTTTTTATGAGTTTTACAAGTTTTTGTATAGTTAAATTGAATTAATTTTCTTGTGTTATTAGAGGTTCAAAGATGGTGATGACTAAGTCTGACAAAGAAGTCTACATATGAAATCTGAATATGATAAAACACACATAATTTAAGAATATATAAAAATAACATTAATTGCAATCCAACTTTACATATAAAGTAGACATTCTAACCAAACAAACATTTAAGGATCACTAATTATAAATCTTAAAATTAGCATATAAAAACAAAATATCTGAAATAGTTGTATGTGACTGAAGTCTGCTCGAGAAGTCTGCTCGAGAAGTCTACTCGAGAAATCTGCAGCTGAAGTCTGCTTCCAACAAAAACAAAAGAGAAATAAATAAGCTCAGGTCTGCACAATAAGAAAGAAAAATGTTAAAATTCATATTTCAATAAAATCTGCTATATTTACAAACATCATATCTGCAGCAAAAAGGAAAAAAAGAAATCAGCTATGCAACAAAAAAAATTATAGATGTGCAACAAAATAAACAAAATTCAGATCTGCAACAAAATAAACAAAATCAGATCTGCAACAACTAAAAATTCAGATCTACAAAAAAAAAAAAAAATCAGATCTGCAACAACAAAAAAATCAGATCTGCAACAAATTCTACAAAATTTATACCATAAGAAGCGCATATTTGCAAGAATAAACTCATATCTACAACAAGAAGCTCAAATATGTAATAATAAACCCAGATTTACAATATGAACACAAAACAAACAACAAAAGAAACACAAAACCTCAGATTTGATTACCATCACCATAATTGAGATAGAGAGGATGGAGGATAGAGATGGGTTTGATGGCAAGAGAGGAAGGAGAAGAGATTCATGGCCAGAGAGGAGGTAGAGGAGAGAGAGGCATTTTTTAGAGGGAGAGAAAAACTTTATTTTTAACCCAATTAGGTTAATCTCCTTATATATGTAGGAAAATTTTTGGTTAAGTAGACTTCTTAAGAAGTCTACTCGAAAAATCTACTTCGGTATATTTTTTCGATTTCGATTCCCGCCTAATTTGTTCCGATTTCCACCCAATTTGTTAAATAATTTTGATTTTCCGCTATGTTTTTTTTAAGTCTACTGGAAAAGTTTACCCGAGAAGTCTACCTGAGAAGTCTACTGCATACGTATGTTTTCTGTAGTAGACTTCTTTAGTAGACTTCTAAGAGGTTGTATGTTTTCTAGTTAATTTTCTTTCTGCATTTAAGTTGATTCATCTGTATGAAATTTTGTATTTCATACATGTCAAATATATATGTCTTACTTATGTTTACCAATTTTTTAGAAATTTATTTATTTTATATTTTTTAATTAATTTTTAAAAAACTAATTATGTAGTAGACTTCTTTTAAAGTCTACATACAACGATTGTAGACTTCTTACGTAGACTTCTCGAAGGATAAAATCGTAATTGTGGCAGACGTTTTTTGTTTAGTCACAAAGGACTGAGCTGTAATTTCACTACCCCTTTGGATTAGTTTTGCCAAACATTCAATAAGGGGTTTACATATTGAGAAAAAATCAACTTTTAGGTTATAAAGAGAAATTCCTCCTAAATGAGAAGCAAAAGTTAAAGAAAAATTTCACATAGATTTAATAATGCAAAAAGAGGCGAAGTAATGTGTTAGGGTTTACACAGATTTGACTTTGATTTACTTTATCTGGGAAGATAGAAAAATAATTTTTTTTCTATTTCCAAACAAACTATTGAACCGGGAAAGCAAAATAATAAAGGCGCCCAATGAAAAAAATGAAACAGTTAATCGATAAAAAAGAAATTGGATCGGTTATAAGAAAGAAACTGACACAAAATTATAATGATTTAGCGTCAAAAAAAGGAGTGATGTATTAGAGTTTAGCCTATTAGCGTTATTTTTGTCAAAGTTTTACGTTTCTGGTTAGCGTAATCAGTTAGGGATTCTACTGCTTGGTTTGGTTTATCTATCAGTTAGGGATTCTACTGCTTGGTTTGGTTTATCTATTTGGGCCTCGCATTGGGCTTCTATCGGGGCTAGACATCTAATTTATCACTTGGTTTCTCTTGATTCCTTTTGTTGGTGGGTATGTAAATATAACTAAAGTTGGCGATCATTTGTACAAAATGATAAACCATGTATACAGTTATTTTAATGCAAGAAAAAAACATCAATATAAAAAGCGATGCTAATTACAATCGTTATTCTTTTTGTTAGCGTCAATTTTGCAATTGATGTTACACAATGATTTTCTAGTAGTGGTATCTTATTGAAATGAAATCTAAACATCCCTAAACTTTTAAACTTAAAACTTAAAACTCATAGACAAAACTAGGCTATAGTTTATGTTTGCTGTTTCTGGTCAAAGTGATTCTTTGATCTTTGTTGTATTATGAACTTTATTGGTGTTATGTTTTCAAAGATATTGTTTCGCTTTCTTAAATATTTTTTGTTTTTTTTTTGGTGTAAATGTTAATATTTTTTTTTTGATAAGCGGTTTTAAATATGCTTGAGCAGGCCATGGTGATTCTGCTGAGGTTTGTCCTCGTTCTTCAGGTCATAGCATTTTCGCATTCGGAGTACATCCAGGTTAGATTACTAGATATGATTTGGAAAAAAAAGTATACATTTCAAATTTTATTTTTGACATCTTTGATTTTGTTTGTGTAAAGAGTTCACATGGCAACTTGGTCGAATGCGTGGACAAAATGACGCAGCGGGCTTTTGACAATGAATTGTTAAGAAACCATAAATTTCAGGTTCGATTAATTTTTTAATTTTATAACTTTATATGTATCAGTTTATTTCACTATCTAGATAATCAGCTTACTTAAATTTTTAATATTAATATATATATATTTTTTAATTTTTGGAAACAATTACATAGGCATCGCCATCAGAAATCCCTGCAGCTGTCAACCCAAATCAAAAAGGTAGATGGCGAGCAACGGAAGCTCACGTTGACACTGCGCCATGTCCCGAGGGTACTATACCAGTACTGCAGTATGAGGAGGAAATCTACACTAGCAGCAACAGTAGCACCATCACTCCCGTACATGAGGTAAGAAGCTACATATTTTTTTTTACAATTTCTGAATAATGTTTATTTATATATCTGAATTATAAGTTTTTAAAAATATTTTTGATAATAATCAATAAGTTTATTACCGAGTCTTTGGCAAACTCAGTGAAAAAAGCCATGTTGGAGAGCAACAAAATCAGTTTCATCTGAAAATCAGATTTTCAACAAAACCAGTTTATAAATGAGATCCCTAAAACCCAGTCTCAAAAATACACATTCGACAGCATCACATTTCACAATCCGTTTTAAAAGTTTTTTTAAAAATGGATATTCAAATAAGGATATGAGAAAAAAGGTTACAGAGCCCAAGTATGGCCCAGTTTTGGAAGCCCAAATATTATAACTAAATAAAACTCATTTAGTTAATAAAGAACCAGAAAATTGAACCAAATAGTGGTAATCGAACCGAAAAGTTGGTTGAGAGTAAATCATATTATTCCAACCGTTTTGTATGGACTTATGGATTTTCGTCACTTACCAAATCTGTTTTTCTTTTTTGATCAACATCCCTTTTTTTTTATTTTATCAACACCAAATCTGTTTTAAAAGTTAAAACCACCTTTTAAAAAAATCACTTTTTACAATCAAGCATTATAAATCTATAATCAGTTTGAAAACAGTATCAGAATTAGAAATCAGTTTGAAACACATATTCAAGCAAACACACACTTAACCACAGAGCAAGCGATAAGCAAAGATACTTGTGACATCACACAATCAGTTTCAAAAATCAGTTTCTGAGTCAAGCCAAAACACACGGTTGATGGTCATAAACCAAGCAGAAAAACACAAAAACAAGAGATGTTCTTTCAAAAAAAAATAAACAAGAGATGTTCAAGTCTTGATATGCTGAGGCTGATATCTTTCTTAAATCTCGTCGAATAATAACTCAAACTCTGTGCCGTTGTGTGTTTCTTAGTCTAATTCGCATGAACATGACGTTCACACAATCTATGCTCAGCACACGGTAGGATCAGTCCTTTCTGTTGATCACTCGACGAAGTGAGTCCATTACCATTCCCCAAACTTCTGAGTCTTGAATCAAATGTTCAAAAAACCATAACCAGTTGGGTTTATTCACAACATCTACAATAGCCCAAGCTATAGGAAACATTTGGTCATCAGAAAAGTCCCATCCTTCTTTTCCATCACAGCATCTCTAAATCCCTCTTTCGTTAGAAAAGGCAGCTCCTTTTTAGTGTTTCATTACAGTCAGTATCTTCTCTCGTAAGTGTATCTGGAGGAAACCATGTTATCTTCGTACCCGAACCATCTTACGGACAAAAGAATGCACCCAATGTCTTACACAAACTGATAGACGAACAAAAATCACCCCAAATAGCTAAACTATAAGACAAATCTGGAATAATCTTACTCAGTTGCACAGCTATACTCGATTATCCCAAATCGATCCTCCAACCACGATCCAAAATGCGCCTGTATTTACTCACAACCCCTTCGCTCATCTTACCTTAGTCGAACCACGAACCCAGAACAAAAAAAAAAAAACCGATTTCGTCAACCCATAATTCCTATCACGCCGAAAATACGAATCACGAACCCTAACTACGATTCTATTTCTCAATAAACCTTACCCGAAATCGATTTTTCCACTTCATCATCGCAAAATCGACATCATTTTTTTTTCCCCAACTTTCTTGGTTGTTCGAACACTTTGCTGTTTTTAATCAAGTAACGGACTGGGTGTGGTTTTTTTATTTTAAATTTATTGTTGTTCCTTTATTAAAAGCCCAACGAGGCAATATATTACAAGTTAACCCATTAGCCCAACAAATTGGAGTGTTTTTCTTATATCGCATAAAGCCCTTTTAGAAATTACGCTGTTTAGTATTAATTACGGTTTCGAAATTATTCACAGTATGCACAAGCAGAAACGAATAACCCAATGAAGGTATACGGAATGACAGCTACGCTTAGCGTATGGAAACCAAAGGTTGAAGACAGAGAAATCGAACTCAGTATCTCCCAAGTTTGGGTAAGTTCGGGATCGTATAAGAAGAAGAATCTTCAGACAATCGAAATAGGATGGCAGGTTGGTTAATTTTATCAATTTTTTTTACACATTATTATTTTCTTAATCATTTTAAATTCATTCATCTACATATATATGTGACTAATATAATATGGTATTTTAATTATTCAACTAGGTGTATCCGCAATTATATAACAACGACAAGACAAGACTATTCACCTTTTGGACGGTATGTATGATTTTAAACTTTTTAGTATCAATTTTATTTTAACTATTTTATATTTTAAGCATATATTATAATTAAAATTATTACCTCTATACATTTATTAATCTGAATTTTCAAATCTAATTAATCCAGACTATAGCTCATGTTAAATGGAGTGATACTATAATATTTGTTTTTTAAAGGTTTTTTCCCTTGTTTTTTTAACAAGTCTGAGTCTATATTAAATCCAGTCAATTTTATTATTTTAACCTCCCACCAAAAAACGGATATCTGCTAAAATGGAGACAACATCAGTTTTCATTTTATTGCGACACACACACACCTATATATATAAGAAAAAAATCTATACAAATACAATTGAAAAAAAAAAACACTATAGCAAAATCCAATAAAGTGAACATAAGTGTTAGTTTACTCTTCTTCTTCTTTTTGTACATATGTTATAGTTTATTCTGAATTTTATAAAATGTGAATAATAAATAGAAGCTTTCCAAATTTAAGTTGGTTTGTAACACTTGATTTTAACATGGATTTTAAAATCACATGACTAATAACACAAAAACTAAAGATAGATTTAAAACAACTATTTTGGAAAATGTATATAAAGGTTTTGTAACATGGTGTTCACGCGGTACCTACCATTCTTGGGAAAATGTAAAATGTAAATTGTAAAGGGCTTTGGATTTAAATCAATTATTTTGAAAAGGTATATAAGGGTTTTGTAACGATGGTGCTCACGCGGTCCCTACCATTTTTTATTCTTAACTTTGTTTTTAATTATGAGCACACTGAAGCAATCAAGCAACTGGTTGAAAAAACATAATTTTTGCCTTTGAATGAATTTTTTCTTTTTGATAAAAGATTTTGTATTTATAAATGCATAAATAGCCCAAAACACAATATGAAATAAGAGAAGCCCAATGTTTGAGTAGTCTAAAAGCCCAGAAGCCGAAAACAAATTGGTTACTACTCAAGAATTGTACATTTTTTCTGTCGTAATTTTGAATTCTTCTCCAGTTTGCTTTATGAATGAATCTGTGCATGCTAATAACCTATACTGTAAATATTTTGCAGAATGACACGTACCAAACGGGATGCTATAACCTAAGGTGCCCTGGTTTTGTGCAAACCAATAGGAATATAATCCTTGGAGGCGCCATTACTCCAATTTCTGTCTTCGGAGGTAGACAATCTGAACTTGACATTCTCGTTTGGAAGGTTAGTTTTTCAATACCTTTTTGAATTTTTAATCTTGTTTTATGTGTGTTTATTGGATTATATTGGGTTATATGTCTGTTTGTATAACTTGAGCGTCAAGTCTATTTAGAAATATTAGGGTTTATTGTCATTCGTGTATATACGTATACAAAATACAATTGATTTTATATAAGTTTTTTATAACATTATGCTGTAATATTGATAAAATATTTTTTTTGTTTATTTTATGAATTTTAGGGTAATTTAATTCTAATGTAAATTAGTTTAAAAATTAAATATATATGCGCAATCTGGATAGAAATACGAAGTCTCTCTTTATGTTTTCTATAACCCATGATTAATAACATAATCTTAAAATTCCAAAAAAAAATAGAGGAAGTATATTTTGATTAAATTATTAAGTATCTAATGCGTTATGATAATAATAAAATAATTTTACTACTTCCTGTGTTTCATAATATTAGTTTTTTCTAAGATTTTGTTTTGTTTCACAATATAGTTGTTTTCATATTTTTTACTACTTCCCATGAATACTATGTTACCGATTATATTTTTTAGTTTTTCATAATTAGTTGAATTATATTTAATTCATATACTAAATGATTACTTTTTTTAAAGAAAAATTGCTTTTTAATCTTTGTGCTTTGATGCAAAACAATTTATATTTTGAAATAGAGAGTACTAAAATTGTAAAATAAAACTATTATAATCAATTTTAATATTTCTTATACGAATGTAAATGCATATTTAGATTAACCCGCAAAAACTATAGTCATAAGAATATTAACTTTTAAGAAAAGAAAATTAATGTGAAATTTATTTTAAATACTAAATATACATAAGAATTATATAAAAATAGATTATATTTTTTATTATTTTTAATAAATTATCTAAAATTGTATATGACTGAGTCAATACTTATATATTCTTAACTTTTTGATTCAATAAAAATATTTTCAAATATCAAAAATTTTAATAAAATTATTATATAATATCCTTACAAAAATATTTCAATTTTTTACCAAGTTATTTTGTTGTATAAATTAAAAATTATAATATATATTTAATTAAGCTTTCTGTTTTTTTTTTATCATTTATGTATTTTTATATTGATTTATGAATCATCTATCTACACATCCTTATTTTTAATTTTAGTCTTTTGAACATAATTTTATTTATTAATCATTTGAGTAATTTATATTTGTTTAATAAAATTCGAATTCTAACATATATATATATATATATATATATATATTTTACTATATGAATGATGTGATGATTTATTTTTCTATACAAAATAAGAGATAAAATATAATATTTAAAGAAATAATTAATATGATATATTTTTAGTAAGAAATAGAAAAAGAAAATATCTTGATGAATCATCATCAATATAATTGATATAAACGAATGTATAACCAAATTAATGTGAGTGGCATAACATGTAATAAATCTAGTAGCATAAGTCTATTTTTATAACTTTGCTGCAAATGATTGTGGTGATGACACATCAACAAAATGGCACCACTGTAATATTTATAAAATTAAGGTTGTTCTTTAAAAATGCTTCTCTTTTAATATATAGGGGATACTTTGTATTGCAGTTTGATGTCAATACCAAAACACATTCTCTTTGACGCTCAAGCTATATAAACCGTGATAAAGCCCAATATATAACCCAATAGTGTTCTAATTTGTTTGATGTTAAATATATATATACATTTCTCATTTTTCTAACTTAACAGAAAATTAATTGATAGGATCGCAAACATGGGAATTGGTGGCTGAGCTTAGGGAACGGAGACAACTCGTTGGTAGGGTATTGGCCCGCGGAACTTTTCACAAGTGTTGATCCTGCCGACGAGGTGAGTTGGGGCGGTGAGATCGTGGATACCCACAGGTTCGGTAGACACACGAAGACCCAAATGGGCTCGGGTCATTATCCTATGGAAGGTTTCGGAAAAGCTAGTTATATCCGAAACCTAGCGAGTATAGATATCAACAACAACCTCCAGCCGATCCCAAAATCAAACACAGATACACAAATAAGCAAATATTATAAGGTTAAAAATTTGGAAACAGATAACGAACCATATTTCTACTTCGGAGGGACAGGATTAAGTACGCATTCAGGAGTCGTGACTTTAAGATCGAGTTTATTTTTTGTTTATCTATGTATGAGTTTCTTTGTTATCATTTAGTTTCTTTTCTTGTTTTTTTTTTTTTTTTTAATTTGATCGGTTAAGTTGTGAAAACTGTCTGTAATGCTATATGTTTACTACTCATTTGATTATATGATTCGGTAACAGTTTGGTCATTGTTAAACAAAGCACATATATATATTTTTGTCAAATTCTCTGCAAAAATCATGGAGGAATCTGTTAATATGTAACTATTTATTGAAGATAGATATGCAAATTACAAGAAGTTGATCAAGATCTCATGTCGATCTGATAGATGGCGATCATTTCAAGCTCATGTCGCTGGTTTACACATTCATCATAAACCGCAGTGTCTCATCAGTGAGTAAAACATACAAAGCTTATTTACACCGCTTCTCAATAAACGGTCAACCCTCTTTGTCAACCGGAGACATCGCCTTCTCTTTCTGCTTGCAAAAAATTGTTTGATCTTCTCTGTTAGTATCTCATTTCTTCTGCTACTTCTTGCAATGATATGTATGATGAATCTTACCAATACTCCCCCAATTGAAATTAAGCTTGTCCTCAAGCTTAGAATGTGATACTGCTTGAAAACTGTAGCAGAAAGGACCCATGGGACTACGTGAGCTGCTTTTTTCCTGCCCATTACGCCAACAACTCCATCTCTCGGGATTCTTTCCCAACACAGCCTTTAACTGAGAGACCTGAAATTTGAATGAATCTTTGCTTCTACAGGTTTGAAGTCTGGCACAACCCTGTCATCAATTCCTCGTGGTTTGTACTGAAATGTCCAAAACGTTGGCAGTTTTCCAAAAGCACAATTGTGGCCATCTTTGTGTCTCCATCGATGCCACAGAGAAGAAAAATTCCTTTCCAAATACCCACCAAGTAGCAAAAGGTAAGTTCAGGAGCTGCGTCTGCCATTTTCTCCTTAAAAAACAACTTTACTCTTTGTTTGTATCAGTAGTCTCTTCCATATACTGTTGAAAAAACACTGCATCTGTCTATCTTTGTACACATTGTATACTCGATATCAAGGCTTGATTCAACATATTTTATCTGCAGAGTGTTTAAATCCTTTCAAATGAACCTGGAGTTGCAATAGCAGCAAATATCTGCAAAATTCCACTTCACAAGCTCTGCTTTACAATCTAATTTCTCGCAGCTTTGATTGACAATTTTTTTTTTTTTTTTTGGATAGAAGTCTGTCTTGAGTCACTGAAAATCCAAACAATCCAATACAGCGCATATCGGTGATTCCGTATTCTGTACCACTTCTGTCTCATGAACAGCTCCTCTGCTTGAACTGCTTGAAATCAATTCATCGTTCAAGTTCAACTGTGATGGAGAACAACTCGTAACAGGACCATATCGATTCAGCAATCTACATTTAAAGCCACTCCAATCCAGGAATCTAGTTCGGCGCATCGCACGACTGAATAATGCTTTCTCTTGCATCTATTTTTCTTTTTGTCCTCTCTCTTCTTTCTCTCTTTGTCTTCTCTCTTGTTCTCTCTGGCCAAATCTGTTTTTTTTTTGCCGTTTCGGCGGTGGTCGTCCTTTAGTACAGTGACGACGCGGTGGAGTGAGGTATTCGGGAGCTTGAACCGTTGGTGCCCCATGAGTAAAGCTGTTGACTGTTGTTTAACGTCGCACACAGCTCTTCAAAGGAGGCTCTAGCAGATTTTGAAAGAAGGCTCTGGGGGTGGATGATCCACGGCGACGGTGTCTTCTTGGCGTCGAGCTTGTCTCCAGATCGGCTCCCTCATCTTCTCTTCTGTCTGTTAGCTTCTTCTCCGGCAGAATTCATTATGGAGGCTCTAAGGAGAGTGTGGACCGCCTCCGTGAGAGGGGGGTTTCAGGTGGCTGAATGGTCCTCGGGTTCTCTGGTGGCTGGTCTTGTCAGAGGTGGATGTGGTGTTTTTGTTCATTTGCTTGTGATTGTTTTTGTTTCTAGGGGTTTCGGTCTCCCAGTTTAACCGGTTTTTGCTCTCCTGATTTAGAAGGTGTTTTGGTCTTCTGGTTAGCTGGTTTCTGGTCTCTCGGTTTATCTCATTTTTGGTCTTCTGATTAGCCGGTTTTGTTTAGCCTCTTACCAAAATTTTTTGAGTTTTTGTTGTGAGTTATATATTTCTTTTATTTCTGAGTTTTTTTTATAGTTGTAAAATTCAAAAAACAAAAAAAAGGATAAATGAATATTATCCTTTAAAAAATAACCAATTTCTAGTAATTCCTTTCTAGATAACAAAACAATTTTTTTTTAAAATATTAATTTTTTATAAATTAAAAGTTTAAAATAGAAAATTCACCAAAAACACAAGCAAATGAACAATAATCGCAAAAAGATAACCAAAGGGTGACACTTAAAACCTGGATAAAGGAGGCTGCAAAAACAATCACATACCACTACACCAATCTCTATTTGCTACCTAAATATGTTTAATTTGTATATATAATTTAAAATTTCAACATACTAATATCATCCAATTTCATCATCCAATTTCAAGAGTCAATTTTATCGAACTTGACAGATTTATATTAAAAGTTAAATATATTCCATTATATAAAATTCTCATCAAAGTCTACCAGAACATAATCACGATAATTATATCAACAATGTTAATCTATTAATTAGTACAATATTTAACTCTACCACCACATATTCGATATTCGATGTTAATCTACCATAACGTCACATTTATTAAGTAAGCATATATATCTACCATCAAATAAATAACTTTATCACTAATGTAAGATCAATTATTAGCTATTTTCGACCAACAAATTCTACCATTTCATTAAATATCTCTACCAGATAACCAGTAAATCTATCGTTATTAAGACTGTGATTGGTAAACTTAGTGGAATGGTGAAAAAACTCAATTCCGCAAGAATTTTGCCAATCAGAAAAACTTGAGAAAGAACACCAAAACTCGAGTTCTGCGGAATGTCGGAAATACTTAGAAAATATACAAAAAAAAATTAATTAAGTGGAAAAGTGTATTTCAGGTAGCTTATTTGCGGAATCAATATTTTATATCATTCAATTATATAACTAATTATATTTTATTAGTTAAATAAATATAAATAAATATATTTATACTACATATATATTTATATAATGATCAGATTATATCTGTAGATTAAATATTGCAATATAGTTATATATTTTATAATAAAAAAATAAATAATTACAATAAAAGTTTTAATTTTTTCTAATTATATTAAAATTATGTTTTTTATAATAAGTAATATTTTATTTTTTTATTATATTAAATTATATATAAAAATATTATTATGAAAAATTAATTATATATATTTTTTGTCATTCCACCATTCTGCCATTCCACATAATTTATCCAATCATATCAAAATTAATTATTCCACTATTCTGCATTCCTCCATTCCGCAACTTAATTTTTTTTGCAATTCCACAGTTTTTATTGTGTTACCAATCGGAGCCTTAAATCTACCATTTCGGTCACAAATCTACCACAGATTCCCACCATGAAACCAACGAAACTGAACAAAAAAATAAATCTTCCATCATTACATCTAAATCTACCATTTTAAATACAAATCTATCAGTCTTTAAAAAGATCTACCGCGTCGAAAATAATGATCGACTATAACAAATCTACCCAATACTACTTGCACAAAATATCCATTGACCAAAACCAATAGACTAACGCGTCGTTTACCTGACAAATCAAAAGTAATTGCATAATCATAAATGTCAATTTTGTCAACAAAGACTATAAGGATAAAATAGATACATTAGGTTAATTTTGTAATAAAAAAAGTTATAGTTCATTTTAACCATAAATTTATCTTACCAAATCTATAATATAAAAGATGGTCAACTCTCTCCAGTTGAGTGCCACATCAGCATTGGAGAGAGTGACACCTGACATTTTAACATTTATAATTAAATAGTCTATTACTTTAATACAATCAAAATTGGATTAATTAATTATTTATCTTTTAATTACATACTAATAAAATTTATATATACTTTATAAATGCATAACATAATTTATATTTTCTGGTGATAAAATATTTATCACATACATAGTTATTATCGATAAAATATATACATATATATTATATATTTATTCAAATACACAATATTTTTAGAAAAAATCATATATAATAAATATATAATATAAAAAATGGTCAACTCTCTCCAGTTGAGTGCCACATCAGCATTGGAGAGAGTGACACCTGACATTTTAACATTTATAATTAAATAGTCTATTACTTTAAGGGGGAATTCCTCTTTATAACCTAAAAGTTAATTTTTCTCAATATATAGACCTCTTATTGAATGTTTGGCAAAACTAACCCAAATGGATAGTGAAATTACAGCTCAGTCCTTTGTGACTAAACAAAAAAGATCTGCCACAGTTACGATTTTATCATTCGAGAAGTCTACGTAAGAAGTCTACAATCGTTGTAGACTTCAAAAGAAGTCTACTACATAATTAGTTTTTTTAAAATTAATTAAAAAATATAAAATAAATAAATTTCTAAAAAAATGGTAAACATAAGTAAGACATATATATTTGACATGTATAGAATACAAAATTTCATACAAATGAATCAACTTAAATGCAGAAAGAAAATTAACTAGAAAACATACAACCCCTTAGAATTCTACTATAGAAAACATATGTATGCAGTAGACTTCTCGGATAGACTTCTCCAGTAGACTTAAAAAAAACATAGCGGGAAATTAAAATTATTTAACAAATTGGGCGGGAATCGGAACAAATTAGGTGGGAATCGAAATCGAAAAAATATACTGAAGTAGACTTTTCAAGTAGACTTCTCCAGTAGACTTCTTAAGAAGTTTACTTAACCGAAAATTATCCTATATATATAAGGAGATTAACCTAATTGGGTTAAAAATAAAGTTTTTCTCTCCCTCTAGAAAATGCCTCTCTCTCCTCTACCTCCTCTCTGGCCATGAATCTCTTCTCCTCCTCTCTTGCCATTAAACCCATCTCTATCCTCCATCCTCTCTATCTCAATTATGGTGATGGTAAGCAAATCTAAGGTTTTGTGTTTCTTTTGTTGTTTGTTTTGTG